AGAGATACATTCCATTCTTTAGGAATCCGATTTCTTACGAATCCTTCCAATCACAACCCAACACGTATCAAGTTTACGGACTACGGCTGTTTGAAAGATTTTCTTCCATAAAATTAATCAATTCTAGACTAATCCAACTCAACATTTCCAAAATACGTATTTTTTTTTGGAAATAATCTGTATAAACTACGCTATAAACAAAAAATTGTAGGATTACTTACCGAGTGTCACCATTCGACATCGCCATTGCTCAACATTGTTTTCGTCGCGGAACAGCTCAGCAAACAGCGGCCGATTTCTAATAACTTATTTTTCTGCGAATAGTTCCTTGAACTTCGGAGACATCATTAATATAAATAATTTTAATCGCCGTTGAATAAGAAATGTTTCTTTCACAAGAAATGTATAAAATTACAGTACTGTATTAGACTTACGGTACCTAATTTACATACTGACAGACGATAGTTAGCGTAAAAATCTCCGTAGCGTGGCGCCACGCTAGACGGCGGAAATTATATATTTAATTATAACAAAGTTACAATAAGTTAATATATAATTATATATACAGTACCTAATTTATATATAATTTATATAATACTGTCCAGACGATAGAAATCTCTCCGTAGCGTGGCGCTACGGATGGCGAGAAAGTAGTTCGGCTGCCCGATGACGTTTGAGGTAATTATAGGGAATTTTTACTGTTTTTTACGGATACTGGTCACAATTTTTTCGTAGTTTTATAGGAATCGTAATTATAGGGACTGTAATTATAGGGGGGTCAATTGTATACACAAAAGAATGATAGATTTGATTATCATCTGCTTACTGGAGATGAAATTGCGAACGTATTAGCAAACTGGAATATTTCAGAATGTGAATCGAAAGATGAATGTACAGATGACATTCATCATCTATAGCAGGGGTCAGCAGTTTGTCAAGCGAAAAAAGCCAAATTGTTATGGAAACAGGATAACAAAAGTACTAGAGAGACGCCACTAGTGCGCGTGACAATAATAAATTCCTATTACAAATATACTGAATTATTTATATTGTTATTGGCCAAATGAATAATAATAATTTATACTGTTAATGTAAATAATAATTTATATTGTNATAACAAAAGTACTAGAGAGACGCCACTAGTGCGCGTGACAATAATAAATTCCTATTACAAATATACTGAATTATTTATATTGTTATTGGCCAAATGAATAATAATAATTTATACTGTTAATGTAAATAATAATTTATATTGTTAATTTAAATGTGTGAAATACGACACATGACAGGGTGCCTCTAGTAGCCATTTTTGGCATAACATTACACGGACAGATGGACATGCGTTCAATGGTTTATATATATATATAGATATGCTTCCACTCGCATGCGACTCATACTGATCAACGTGAGTGTGGTCATGTGTGGATGGGCTAAAGAGTGGTAGAGAGTATGCCATACGAGTCGAAGTTTGTTTGGCGACTCTATCTCAAACTCATAAGTTATAAGACTGCTTGAGATGAGATGAAATTGGAGTTTATGTCTGAAGAGACACAAACGTCTATGCAAACAGCCGCATGTGGCTCGCAAGCCGCTCCTGCTGACCCCAGATCTATAGGATAGGAATAGCGAATAAGTCACATCCAATGAAATCTGGGCTAAACAGGATAGTGATGAGAACCATCCATAGTGATGAAAAACAGCATTTGATTTTTCCTAATGAACCTCTCTACAAAGACATATAATATATTTTTTTGAGTATTCTGATTCTTACTGGTATGATAAATACAGTCGACCCCCCTATAACGTATGTTCCTATAACGACAATTCCTATAACGTAGCGAAAAAATTGTAGCAACTTTCGTATAACGTACCTCCTATAACGTCGTTTCGCGACAAGATTGATAGAGTCTGGACCAATAGTGGATGAGCAGCCGAACTACTTTCCTCCGACCCTGCGCCACGCTACGGAGCGGCTAAATTGAGTTTGCTATCGTCTGTTTAGTATTATATATAAATTATATATAAATTAGGTACTGTACATATAATTATATATTAATTATATATAAATTAGGTACTGTATATATAATTATATATTAACTTAATTTATTGTAACTTTATTATAATTATATATATGCTTTCTGCCGCCTGGCAACACGCTACGGAGATTTTAGGCTAGTAAGTTGAGTTTATTATCGTCTGCACAGTATGTAAATTAGGTACCGTAAGTCTAATACAGCACTAATTTTATACATTTCTTGTGAAAGAAACACTTCTTATTCAACGGCCATAAAAATTATTTATATTAATGATGTCTCCAAAGGTCAAGTTATCTTTCTGCGATAAATTATTTATCAGATATCGCGGCCGCCGTTTCGTGTGCTGTTCCGCGACGAAGACAAGCTTTGAACAACGGGCGTAGTCGAACGGTACACACTCGGTAAGTAATCCTATAATTTTTTGTTTATAGCATAGTTTATACGGATTACTCCCAAAAAATTATACGTGTTTTGGAAATGTTGAGTCGAATTAGTCTAGAATCGGTTAATTTTATAGAAGAAAACCTTTCGAACAGCCTTAGTCCGTAAAGTTCCCACCTATCGGGCTGCGATTGGCTCATGTATTTAATCGTTCCTACAACGTAATTTTCGGTTAGCGTGGAACGTATCTAAGCGTTATAGGGGGGGGTCTACTGTATACAAGAAATATTTTGTTATAAAATAATTTTATTTAGTAATCTATGGAATATACCTATCATTGTGGAATAAACGGAATAATATACCTATCATTGCTTACTTTTGTCCCACTAAAAAAAACTGCTTTTATGTCTGTACAGGTACTGTTCATGATAGGCAGCAATAAGGAAATTACAACAGAGAAATTTTCAATGCTTGCTTTTTATTATACAAATTATATATAGTTCCCCCAATTTCAGGGGAAATCCTCCCAACTTTGAAATTCCTGCTGTAATACTGTCTCTTGAAATTATATAATATTGTAGAATGTTATTTTTTGGTACAACTACAATATAAAATCAGTATCAAATCATAAGAAGAATACTTTGGAATAGCAATCATTTTGATCTAAATCAGTACTAAATCATACAGAAAGTCTCACAGTTCTAGTGTTAAAGCTTATAAAACAAATTAAAGCTGATGCAAAAAGTAGAAATAAAAATACATATACTGTCACCATAAGCAAATAAGCTTCAGACATTACTGTACATGGAAAAAAAGACAAGTCTATTATGAAAATAGGGTAGATTACCAATAGCATCTCTGTAGAATTAACTCTTTCACACTGCTAAATAAAATTATTTCTTCATATTTATTTTCAGATATGATGGTATTATTATATTTGAAGTGTAACAAACATGAATGCACAAGGAAATGATCTATAACATTAACAATAAAAAATTACTATTGCTCTGCTCCCCTACTTTCATAACAGACTTGTCTTTTTTTTGTCCATGTGCAGTAACATCTGAAGCTTATTCATTTGTGGTGACAGTATATGTATTTTTAATCCCAACTTTTCACATCTGTTTTAATTTGTTTTATAAGCTTTAAATGTGAGAAATAATAACAGTAATAATAATGCTAATGTTATGGTAAAATAATTATATTACACACAAAAATAAATTAAAACTGCAAAGTTTAGAACCAACATTGTACCTAGCATCTTGTCCACTTGGCTATTCCCACTCTTAGGAAGTGTGAAACTTCCAAAGCATTATAATCTAAACCCTCAATTTTCAGAGACCCATTTTTCAGAAAGATTTGAGAAGCAGGTCTGTTGTTTGGTCAAGGAGTTGCTTGTATTAACAGCTACATGCTCAAGTTTTGTTCAAAAGGAAATCTGAATGTATGACCCTCTGCTTGTAAGTTCAAAACAACCTCTGATCAGTCAATAGCTAAATATTAGTAAAAAATATATGTATTTATAGAAATGAGCCATTTTTCCAGTTCAAATAAATGCATCTAATTAAAATATAATAATTGTAATTTAAATAAAATTATGTAAATATAAATAACCACTTAAGACATCTATAAAAGTTGCATGAATTTAAGAAGCAAAAAATTATACTTGAGGTATGAAGTATATAACAAATCAGATAACATTCTCCCATGAAATTTGCTAGATTTAATTTAGAACTTACCATATAAAAAAATTAATTAAATATCAAGCATATTGACTTCAATTATTACATAGATTAAGTGATGTGAAGTTTCTTCAACTTAACAGTTTGTTAAGTTAATGGCTTTATGGTAAGATGTAAAGTTTTGATTCAGATCTAAACTTTTGTTACTTAATCATTTACTGGGGTCATTCTCATCTTTATTACTGGTCAATTCCACTTGATTATGGGTAAATTAATGGATTAATTAAGTTTATTCATTATAGAGATAGTCTCTTCCTAATGTTTAAAAATACTTTAACCTAGTGAAATAGTCAGTTTAAATACATATATTAAAGTATGTTTTATTTTAAAGAAAATATTACTATACTCTTTTCCAGTATAAAAAGGTGCCAATGTTCATTAATCTACATAAGCATAGGAAAATAGTTTCATGTTCATTAGAAGTAAAACATTAAACATATTATCTGTTCTATGTATAAATGGTTATAATCCACTTGAAATTTCCAACATTTTTGCAAGAAAATTGAATTATAAGAAAACAAATAAAAATCATTGCAGCACATGTGAGGTTTGAATTTGTAGACATACTTTTGAATATTCATGTTTAAGAATTTTTGTTGCTTAGCTAGTTAATAGAGTCATACACATTCAAAATCTGACATGTTGAATTCATTTTTATTTTGGGAAACACTAGTCTCCTATAAAATTGTTTTAACAGCATAAACTTATTATTTTTTTAATCTATTGTTTTTATTAGAAATTCTGGTTTTAATAAAATAAAAATAAATGCATTTTAGAGAATTGCTTGAAATTAACTGGTAAAATACATAATTATTGTTAAAATCAAACTAAATATACTTACAAACAACACAACCATAAAGACACCAACATATCATTATGAGTAGAAAAAATAAATATGCAACAAAATAACAGTGGTTTCCTATACCTAAAAAAATAAAAAATTATAAAATTAATGATTATAATTATACAGATTACAAAATCTGATTTTAAAAAGTTTATTTTCTATTTGATTGTATAATTAATAAAGCTAAAAACCCACCAACACAATTTCCCACCCACGGACAGTGATGGTCAAATTTTGCAATGCATCGATTGCATACCGCACAATGCTTTGATCTAAGAGGACGACGCACCAAGCAAGTGCTACAAAACCACACGGGATCGAATCCGTCTCTTTCTGCTAACTCTATTATCATCTATATGTAATAAAATTATATTTTTAGCATTTAAATTGATTTTATAAATAATAGCTCAAACTGTTACTAAAGATATATTTAAAATAAATTCACTCTATATCTTTGTTCCTGATCCATCTGAATGATACCAGGATCAGACTTCCATGCTTTAACAAAACTATAAAACAAGAGAGTAGATGATCCCAAAAAGCCTAAGGTATTCCATAAATCTCCAATATCTTACATAAAATCAAGGATTAAATTTTTAAAAAATGTTTTAACTAAAAATTTATTCACTAAATAGGATAACTAAATATTTATTCACTAAATAATTCAGAAAGGCATGCGACATACATAAGCAATGTAACATGATATTATTCACCAGGAAACCATTTGGGGGACACTTGTTGTTACATTGGGATTGACCAAAAGTCAATTTTGATAGTAGGAATCCTATCTATGTTTAGTTTCCCAGTCATAAATTATGACTGGAAAACTGCCAATAATAAAGCATTTTATAAATGACATCAGCAAATCCCAATTCTAAGTAATAAATTAACTGAAGTTGAACTCAACATTTCCAACTTTTAAAGTTCACATTATAATTAAATTGGAAGTTGATAAAGTACAGAACATTTTACAGAATGGAAGGTATACATTTATAGATACATGTCATTTAAGTGCATGTATCTATAAACATATACCTTCCATTCATAATAAATGCATATTAACATGTCTGGTATTATGGTTATTATTACAAATTATTGGGTTCAGTTTTCAAATTGCAGACCTTTAGATTTGCATTGTCGTCCTTTCTTAATCTTGAGAATGGAGTTAATTAGATAAAAATCAAGGTCAGATATGGAAAACTAAGGGAGTAGAAATTATGTACAAACTTCTGATTTGAACCAGAAGTCACATGATTTTTATATTAAAAAATGATTGTCACAATGCTGGGTTGCAATTTTTAATGTCACAATAACTAAACAATTATTATTATTATTTTTAACTTTTTCTTGTAATAAGTATGTAGCAATTATCTGCATAATCAGATACTTGAATAATACTGTTTCTTGTCAGGGAATTTGAGAAAAATTTCAAAAATATTTTTGTTAAAATAATGGCTATAACAGTGTGTTCAGAAAGGCATGCAACATACATAAGCAATGTAACATGATATTATTCACCAGGAAACCATTTGGGGGACACTTGTTGTTACATTGGGATTGACCAAAAGTCAATTTTGATAGTAGGAATCCTATCTATGTTCAGTTTCCCAGTCATAAATTATGACTGGAAAACTGCCAATAATAAAGCATTTTATAAATGACATCAGCAAATCCCAAGTTGTTCATTAATCGCATAAACAATTTTGAAAATGGCTACAAAAGAAAATGTAATGCTGAATTATGAGGTTACTTGTAATCAACAATAACATTGAAGTGACTAAATCATCTAGTTTTGAAATATTATTTCGGCAATTTCTGCAAAATACTGAAATCATTTTTAAATAGAATAGACTGTAGAGCTTAATTTTTTTAGTGTCCATTATCATTATTTGTTTTCAGGCAATATGGAGCTCAAGAAGACCTCATATATGTAAATATTAAATGATAAGCTATGTATTGAGATAAAATATTCGTCAAGTTAATTAAATCTCAGCAAAACAGTTAAAACAGCATTAGAAATACATAAAAATTGAAAAGTCTGTTAGTTGTTTTGAGTTGAAATTGGTTCATAATATTAAAAATAGCAAGTTGGGTGTAAAAAAAATATAACTTTAAGCATCAAATGAGAATAAGCATAAATTTTGAATATATTATTTAGTAGACTATAGAAATTCTGGAGATTTGATAAGATTTTTTTAACAATACCAAGTATGGGACCTCAAACTATGCAAATGGGTTCTGCAGAACTAGTAGCCCGGGACGCCCCCTAGTGGGCGTTCTTTACAAATTTCCATAAGGCACGGTTCCTATGACTTTTTTGTTTCTATCAATATGTTCTACAGCTCCGTTAAAGTCCCAATGGTAAGATTTATCCTCCGAATGAAGGGGTGGCGACCCCCAAACTGTAGTCCCCCTGTGCAAACAATAAAGTCAAAGGAACCATACCCCTACTCGCGACCCTTCGCGAGATATAAGCTCCTGAAAATTCGCCTGTCATTTCCGGTCACATGACACAGTGGTCAAAAGTAAGCCTACCGCGTGAAAAAAACTAACGTACGCTCACACACACTTGGGAGTTTGCCGATCTGCTAATTTGCAGGGTAAATTGTGGCAAACAGGCGGTCAAGTGACACACAGAATAATTTTCGGAGCACTATATCTCGGGAAGTGCCGTGCGTAGGGGTATGGTTCATTAGACATTTATTGTTCGCACAGAGGGGGGGTTGCCACCTCTTCATTCAAAGGATAAATCTTACCGTCCCAATAGTGTCATACGGATCTATATTTCTACCTATTAAACATTCTATAAATACTTTAAAATAGTTTAATTTGTTTATTTACCTTTGCCTGTAAACCTCGATTTTAAATGTATCCGCCATTTTTTCAACAAATTTCCCATGAGTTAATGCGTGACGTTCACCGATTCACGGGATGTCGTAAACGTGCGGCACAAGGTTAATCGAGGCATATAATAATTATTTATACCATTCCATGGTATAAATAATAAATTCGTATCAATAATAAATTCCTATTACAAATAAAAATAATTTATTGTTAATTTAAAATCTTCGCTAGGGCGCCTCTAGTGTCCGTTATCATACCGTTGCACAGACAGATGGATACCCGTTGAATGGGTTATATATATAGATTAACATCAGGTCTGTTTGTAGAACTACTCCCTGTTTATCAGGCAGTTCATTATTTATCATTTTGCTTGCTTTTTTATGTATGGTAATTTTCATACAATTTTTTGAATCTAATTAATACATATTTTTGTTTAGTTCATTTATATTATGTTAACTCAAAGCAAAATTTCTTATAGTAAATAATGTATTTTATTCAATGCATAAATATATTAATTGTCAATAAAAGCATTTTAATATAATAAATATATTTAAAAACAATTTTCATAAACAAAATTGTAGTCCCAGGAACTTGGGAAAATGTAATGCCTAGTGTCCAACCAAGGAACAAAATTAAAGTCAAACCCTATTGAATACTCATGTTCCATTTAGAAATGATTTTTTTAACTGTAATACCATCAAAGGATTATATAAAATATATCACAAAAAGATCAGTAGCCTGTCTTCAGTTAAAACACTGATTTAACTATATATACTGTGTTTCCCCGAATATAAGACAGTGTCTTATATTAATTTTTGCTCTGAAAAATGCGCTAGGTCTTATTTTCAGGGAATGTCTTATTTTTTCCAGGAAGAAGAATTCACATTTATTATTGAACAAAAAAAATTCCCAAGTCGAATTTAGATGAGAGTGACGTATATCCGGTGTGTGGAACTGTCGCCTTTTTATAGCGTCAACATCGGACTCGATGACCAATTAGCGCTTACTGGACCGTAGCACTATGCAAATATGTTGGGGCGTGTTCACGGCCGACCAATTAGCCATCACCAGCCGTAACGTTATGCAAATCTGTGATTCCCAAGCCATAGTCTTATGCAAATCATGCCGTGTGGCGTAATTGTCTGCTGACCAATCAGTGGCTGTACTTTCAAAAAGCCAACGGCCACTTTCAACCATCTGTCGATGACCGTTACGACTAAAAAAAAAACTTCGCTAGGTCTTAATTTCAGGGGGAGGTCTTATATTTCGCAATTCAGCAAAATCTGTGCTAGGTCTTATTTTCTGCGGATGTCTTATTTTCGGGGAAACACGGTAGTATTTTAAAAAAAGTCAATTTAAAAATTTGTATATTATACAAGTATTTGGTTATTTAGATATGAGAAACTTCAGATACAAATACAAAAATTTTACAACCACCTAATAAAAATAAGTCACGATCCAGATGTTATTCAATTCTTAATTCTTCTTAAATAATATTATTTAAATTTTAAATTTGTGTCAAAATGTTATAATAGTGATGTAACGAATATTCGGTTACTATTCGGTATTTGGCCTATTCAGCCTATTTTTTGCTATTTGGCCGAATACCGAATATTTAATCACTATTCGGCCGAATACTGAATACCTAAAACAGGAGTAAGAAATAACAAAAACACAGTAAATTAATCATTTTGGTATTTAGATTTAATGTTATCGGGTTAGTGTTGTTTGTTTATATTTATTTATAACTTATAACATGCACAAAATAAAAAAAGAAGATAATATTAGTCACATGTATTCACAATTTATAATTACAAAGATCAGCACACGTACACACCTATTCGTTAGAGAATCATCGCACATCTGAAGGTCTGACCCTGCCTATCCTTTTTTTTAATGTGCTCATCTTTGCTTTTTCCTTTCTCTTTCCTCTATAGCTCTAGTCCACGTATTCCTATGCATACATCATAATACGCGCTCACGATACTTTCGATTCGTCACTTTTCCATTGTAGATTTCCCATTTTACAATTACGTGATTCATAGCCTGGTGATAACGGAGAAAAGAGACAAATAGGACGTTGCTATAAGTCACAGTGATGATTTCACAGGTTCGAGACAGCTTGATAGCCCGAACGGCCCCAGGGTTTCGCCCGTGCACGCTAAGTGACTTTCATTATAAGCATTTAGCTTTCCGAAGTCTATAGCAATTGTTTGGCATTAGAGAGGTTGCGGCCGACGTTTTCAACGCAAAAACGTGTACGTCGGACGTTCAGCGCCGCTTTCCTAAAGGCCTAGAAGTTTGGCAATGGTGTTTGGGACGTCGATCATGATTCCACTGACTATCCAAACACCATTGTCAAACTTCTAGGCTTATAGGAAAGCGGCGCTGAACGTCCGACGTACACGTTTTTGTGTTGAAAACGTCGGCCGCAACCTCTCTATTGACGGCCACGAATTTTGGGCCAATAAGCTGCCTCGACTTGTTCGAATATGTTATCAACTCAATTTCATATTTATTTTCATATTTTCACTTCACGGCCCTTCTCTGTTCTTTTTCCGTTATTTACACGTGTAGGTCATTTCATTGTTATTCACATTTGATATCATCATTTATCACATACTGCCATGACGCTCTTGTCTGTCCGCTACAACTGTCAAGAATTAACGCGATTGGAGAAGCATAGTGACAGCGGGCCAATAGAGAGCAGAGTCCTTGCCATAATGCGGTTTGCGTGCCAATTTTCGTACGTGCGTTAATCAAGCCGAATAGTTTGGCCGAATATTCGGCTATTCGGTCATGTTCCTGGCCGAATATTCGGTATTCGGTGTGAGGCCGAATATACTATTCATTACATCACTATGTTATAATTCACTATCAAAACAGATTAAAAGGATACATGGCCAAAGGTATGTAAACCAAGTAACATACATCCAGAACTTGGTGGAGAGATACACTGATATTGGAATGATATTTAATATTCTATCATCAAATAGAAATCTGTAATGATTCAAATAAAGAATTATTTTTGTTATTACTTTGATTATTTACAACTCTTCAATAATAATATTTGCTTAACATTTTATCCTTTTAATATTAATAATGGTTTCTACTAGTAATAAACTAGCAATTTATAAACAAATTTTTTGACAGACATTCCTCCTCCTGAAATATTAATATAAAATGGTAATATTTTAATAAATAATGTTTACAGTCATGTAATCAATTACTTACCTGCTGACAACAGTCATCATGAGGAACAGACCAAATAAGAGACAAGCTTTCACCACGTATGATTCTGCAGATTCCAAAATCATTCCAACTAGATAGAAAAGCAGGAAAGGAGATACAAACATTCCCCAATACCTTAGAGTCTAAAACAAAAAAATTTAAGAAATAGTTTTGTAATACATTCTAATAACTGTAAAGCATATAGTTAAAACAAGTACAGGAAATTCCTGTTAGTTAGAAATTCAGGGAACAAAATATTCAAGACTTCAAATTATTGAATTTCAAACAATCTGAGATTTATATATTTCTATAAAATATGCCAACTGCCATGTAACTGATGTAATTTATTAAGCAAATGAAATATAGCTACTTATACAGAACACTTATAATTATACAAGGACACAATTATACAAAACACTTATAATAAGTATAAGTATACACTTATACTTATTAACTAATAATTAATAATAATATAAATAAATAAATTACAGGTAAACAGCACATGTCCAGTGAGAACCTCAAATTGTAGCCCAATTTATTTTTAAAGTGGTAAGTCGCCCAAAAGTAATAGTCTAGAGCCCTACAAATACAATGGGTGATTGGTTAACGAACAAATCGGATAACGAACACTTCACTGAACAAACACAAGAAGCGATGTAAAATAACGAATACCGATTGGTCTTCCTTTGTCTTCAGGCAACAATTAGAAACTTTTCGAAGCACAGGAGACATCGACATTCTACCCAGTATATACTGATCAGATAGTATTCCCCTGAACTTTGAAACTCTCCCTTGTAATTCCAGGCTTTTGTATTTCTGACAGAAACAATTCTTTTATGTTTTCTTCTGAAAATGCAGATTTATGCCGATATCTGCTATTAAAGATCTCTTGAAGAAGTAGAAGGATGTCAGAACAACGGCCTTAAAATGGCATCCAAACCAGATTGAGGTTAATAGGACTAGGGATCTCTACAATTACAATGCTATTAATTACTTCTGAAAAATCATGAATAAGACAGAAAAGCAATCAACATTGGACATATTCTTTAACCCCTACAAACAGAAAAAACATGACTAATAAAAATGCAAAACCGTGTATATATGTATTTTTATTATTACATATGAATAAACGTAGTAAGAAAGTATATACTTTTTTATTTTTGGGGAGTCTCCAGAATGAATTACAGTAGAGCATCAATTATCCAACTCAATTGGGGACTGGGGTTGGTCGGATAATTGAAAAGTCAGATGACCGAAAAGTATGAAAAAATCCATTATTAGTGTAGTATATTATTATATCCCATGTAATTAGTATATTAGTATATCGCTATTAACCTACTACGTGTTGAATTTTCCTCCATGTTAAGCCTATCAATTTTTTTTTTAAATAATAATTGTTGCTATTGCATCGTTAAAAATTATTTCTTTATTTTGCACAAAATAAATACAGTACTGTACTGTACATTGAAAAATATTTTAAAATATACAGCCAGCTAGTATTAACCCTACTATAAACCCTTCGCCTCCTGTAAGTATTATGAGAATGTCCCGAGAAATCCAACACCAGCTGTTCTCAAGGTCATCCAGCTGTAAATACAATGACTCATCAGTGTCAAATTTCGCAGAAAGGCGAGACAATGGAAAACAAAGTTTGAAGCTTTTTCTTCAAAAATAACGCATTTCTTTCGTTTTTTTTTCGGTTTTAAGTATTTTTTATGTTTAATTATAATGTACAGTAATATCCCGAACTTACACGATAGGTGGGACCGAACGGTAACCGCGTAAGTCGGGTTACATTTTCACATATAAATACATACAAATAATTTTTAATTGGGGCCAGAGACTAAAGAAAACAATAATTTAAAAAAAAATATTTAATAAAATCTTAGATAATACATATATATAACAAATTAGGCCTATATTATTTTTCAAATTTATTTGATTATTATTCCATAATTTTAACATTGTTTCCATCTCAGCAATAATACTGTGACAATTTTTCACATTTACTTGATTATTATGCCATAATTTTAACATTGTTTCCATCTCAGCGATAATACCATGACGTTTACGAATGATGCTTGAATTTAAAGATTGAGCATTTTTCACAGCTTCAAGAATTTTTTCTTTGCCTTTTATAATTGTTCTGACTGACAATTCCAGTAGATCAAACTTCTTTGCCAATTCACAAATTTTCATTTTTGTATCGAAGTCTTTAATAATGGGTACGTTCGTAAAATCAAACGAGTTAAACGCATTAGTAACAAATCGTTCGAAAAGTCTAACGAAATAGGAATAACGATGACTTCATTCTTGCTTAACTCGTTCGACTTTACGAACATACCCAATGTTAACTTTACATTCCAAAGATAAAGTTTTTCTTTTCTTGTTTGATGTGGAAGAATTAGTTCTACTTTGTTTGGATGACATAGTAGAGTCTCTCGAGTCTCTGTAGATATAACAAACACAGAAATAAATAAATTGTAGCTCTGTGTGGATTCCGCGCGACACATCCAAACATGTAAGCTGAATAGTGTGGGAGGGAGTGAGTAATCAAGGGTTACGTGGCGCTCAAACAAAAGACAAATCGACGAGATTTGAAAATCACATAACTCCGGGTTCGCGTAAGTCGGGGTAGCGTAAGTCAGGGTATTACTGTAATTAAAAATTGATTGGAGAGGAAGCAGTTAATTATTTAACTACTTCTTAGGTAGAAATAAGTTGAAACCGGTTACTTTGTACTCGAACATTTGTAGTCGCGGGAAAAAAGTGGAAAGAAATTTTTATGACAAACGGATACATAAATCGTAAATTTAAGGAAAATAAATTCTAGAGCTTTTTCTTACCTCGTGCATCTCTCTCATTCATTAAATTTAGTTGTAAATGATGCTACCAAAGTAACAGTTAATTTTTTAACATTATACAAGAATTGTACACGTTTTTTTCTACATCCCTTAGAGATGAGATATACGAAATCATAATATCACTGGTTTAACATTAAAATCCATAATATAAAATCAGAGAGCGGAATAAATATATCAAATATTTTAATGGATTTTTTTAAACTCCTGTCAACTATACAGAACTATCATAAAAACATACCAGTAAATTCTTATCGGTTGGGTTAAGTTATAAATCTACTCGNTAACATTAAAATCCATAATATAAAATCAGAGAGCGGAATAAATATATCAAATATTTTAATGGATTTTTTTAAACTCCTGTCAACTATACAGAACTATCATAAAAACATACCAGTAAATTCTTATCGGTTGGGTTAAGTTATAAATCTACTTGTGATTCACGTAATCGGGCGAGAGCGGCCAAATATCTAGCAGGCAGGCAGACAGCTAACAGCCCAGAACAGGTCCTGGATAGAACTGGATACAGTATACATGTAGCATCCACCAGCTAAACCAGGTGAGGTTGGTGCTCTGTAAAGCGCATGCGTGAATCTGGCATTTTTGAATGCTGATGATACAGCACTTCCACTCCGCCACTAATATTCGAATATACAATAGCAATCTTATCTTTTTTTTTCACGTGTAGTATAGAAATTTGTAATAAGATACATAATGTGGTTATAATAAAATATTGTGCAATTATTTTCATATAATTAAAATTAATATGTATTTATTTTTTAGAAAATACAAGGGAAGCGGCGCATCCACCGCTTCCAATGATGGCACATCACTGTTTAGACCACGGGTTCCCAACCTATGGGTCGCGACCCAAAAGGGGGTCTCAACGGGTTTTCTGTGGGGTCACCAACTTATGCAGTAAACTAAAACAAAATTTTCACTATAATGCAATATTTATTTTTAATGGCATCTTAAAGTTTGAATAATTTCATATATTTTTAAAAAATTAAAATAAGTGTAATCTGGGTACGCTGTTCTGTCACAGTTGGTTGAATCACGTGTTGAGAGTTTTGAGAGGAATAAATTAAATGTTAAGAATGACATGAGGTTGGCGTTAACAAAATCTCACTCGCGAATTTTGAGGCTGGTTAATAATACATGCAATTTCAACCATCTCGTTAAATTAATTATTAAACATAATTTAAAATAAATTATACTAAAAAACTAATTTCATTGTTTTTTAATTACCTTATTAAAAATACCTTTTTCAATTGTATCGGGGTCGCGGGTCACTTGGCTTTTATAAAAAGGAGGTAGCTACCCGAAAAAAATTGGGAACCGTTGGTTTAGACTATACATACAGGATGAGTCATTTTCATTCAGTCCTTTCACATGCTGTTGAAGTAGTAACAATTCCACGATGGAGTCGATATTTTATTGTAGGTTACTCATCCGCTATCCAATGCTAAAAAATTAAAATATTTCTCTAGCGGTGGCACAATGATAAAATTAAGCATGTGAAGGGACCGAATAAAAATGACTCATCTTGTATGTATAGTCTCAACAAATATACAGTGGTACCTCAGGATACAAACGCCCCAGCATATGAAATTTTCAGTATACGACATGAAATTCGAACATATTTTTGCTCCACGATATGAACAAACACTCACCATACAACGTTACATTAGTTCGCAGCGCCATTTTTTATTCACTTCTGTTCATTGGTCTCAGTCTGCGTGTTTGCTTCGTCGTGGAAGGATCTCACTCAATAAAGGAAATCTTGAGGTATTATCAGAAAGTGACTGATTTTATTGAAAAGAAACATCCTGAATAGATTCACACTGGCCGTATTGCTGTTCGGAGTAATGACATTTGCCTAAGTCATTTTAGAAACATTTTAAAAAGTAGGCAAAGCAAAACCTCTTTTAAAGATATTTTACCAAGCAACCTCTATCCAGTGAAAGTGCTGGTGGAAGTGAAGGAAAGACGGCAAAACACAGTGAATAAAAAATTTAAAAAATATATATATAAAACAGAAAAGTTAAAAAATTAAAGTTATTTTTAAGTTATTGTTACATTATGTTATGTAAGTTAAGTTTTAGTATCATTTCCCTTCTCTCTCTCCTCCGGCACTAGTTTACACCTCCATCATCGTCTATCCTCAAAGGTAAAATGCAAATAAAACTACATTTTTTAAAATCAATTATTATTCTATTATGGTTATTTATACATTTATAACTACAAAATGTATTTTTCAGTGTTTTCCTTACTAAAGTTAT